AAATCTGAATCAAAGGATTTTGATATTCTTACTCTCTTACTTCGTCTTGGTTCATCATCAGTTAAATCCTGCTGGTCGAGACCATTACTAGTCTCTTGTGTTTGATTGTCATTAGTCTCTTGACTTTGTATACCATCATAAGTTCTTTTCTGTGAACTTAATTTTTGTTCTTTCTTGTAAGGAAAAACATGTTCAAAAAATACAGCATTTCTTGACTCTATAATAATGTTCACATTTATATCAGGTATTTCTAATTTATAAGTCAGAAACCGATATGCACTATTATTATGAGCATAACCAATAAACACACAATCCACTGTTTTTGGTTCTTTCTTAATCTTTTTCGGAACATGAACTTCTACCTTTTCCAAACACCTCTACACTTTTAAGTATTTATAAGAAGGTGGTCGACCTTTCCACAATTCATAAGGAGTGCTGTTAGTTTTCTTGTGGGGTATTCTGTTAAGAATATAATTAGCAGACAATATTGCTTCCCCCCACAAGTTCTGCGGTAAGCCTGAACTTAGTAACATGGCATTCATCATTTCTTTAAGGGTTCTATTCTTCCTTTCAGCAATTCCATTTTGCTATGAAGAATAGGGTGTTGTAGTTTGGTGAATAATGTCACGTTGTACACAAAATTCATTTAAAGGTGCATCATATTTATCACCCCTATCACTTCTAATCATTTCAATGATTTTACCAAATTGATTTCAATTTCAGTTTTGTAGAGTTTAAATATTTCTAAGGCTTCATCTTTACTTTTAAGTAAATATACATAACAATATTTTGTGCAATCATCGATAAATGTTATGAAATACGTTTTGCCTCCTCTAGTTTGAACGAATTTAAGATTATATACATCAGTATGAAATAATTTTAGAGGTTTGGTTTTTCTTTTAACCAATTTAAATGGAGCCTTAATTAGTTTCGTTTCTACACAAATCTCACATTTGTGATTAGGATCAATTTCAAACTTTGGTATATAATCCAAACCAATTAGTCTATGCAAAGCATCAAAAGTTACATGTTCTAATCTACTATGCCATAAATTTGACTCAAGAATATAAGCAAAATATGTGTTATTCTTATTAATAGAAAGTTTTGATACAACCGTCATTACATTTAACTTAAAGAGACCATCGCTCATGTATCTCTTACCAACATACATACTACTATTTGTTAATACAAATTTATCAAACTCAAAAACAAGCCTAAAATCATTTTTTCTTAACAAAGAACCAGAAACTAAATTCTTTCGGATGTCTGGTACATGCAGTACGTTGTTGAGGGTCAGCTGTTTCCCCGATGCCATCTTCAAGACTACTTTCTCTTGTCCAGTCACAGCAGAAGTAGATGAATTTTTCATGAATAGTTGCTCACCATTTGCAAACTCATTATAAGTAGTAAACATCTTTTTGTCTGCGCAAATGTGTCGAGTTGCCCCTGTGTCAACCCACAATTCATTGAGATTTCCAACCAAATTAGCCTCAGACACCACAACAGAGAGATTGATTTCATTTACCCCGTCAGAGATGTAATCAAGTTTTGTCACATTGGCTTGATTGGTAGTCTTCTTACTTATACTTCCGCGATTCTTCTTTGGGCGGCAGCAATCAGAAGTACGATGTCTAGTCTTGCCACAGTTATAGTAATTTCCTTTGAACTTCTTATTGCCATTGTTGTCGCCTTATTTAAGACCATCTCCAACAAACTTTCTCTTTTTGTTATGTGGTTTGGTTACATCTTTAACCCCATTAGCCTTGGACTCAATGAGATTTTTACCATTCCTCTTTTCAGCCCTCTAGTTATCTTCCTCAATTCTTAGTCTTATAATAAGTTCATCTATGGTCATCTATTTGCGTTTATGTTTTAAATAATTTTTGAAATCTTTCTAAGCCGATAGTAATTTTTCCACTAACGCAACGACTTGGAAAGACTCGCTAAGAGACATACCTTCAGTATGAATATCATGCAAAATCAATTGAAAACTTTGAACTTGAGAAATTATCGTTTGGGAGTCTATCATAACAAAGTCTAAAAATTTACCGACAACAAATTTCTTTGTGTCGGCATCTTCTGTTTTTTTATTTTTTCTCTAAAGAATCCCACAATTCTTTTGCTATTTTCAAATGGCTGTAAACTTTATACAACATGTTGTCAAGGCCATTAAGGATGTAGTTTCCGCACAGAAAATTAGAATTTTTCCAAGCTTCTACAGCGGTAACAACTTACCGATCACTTTCATCCTCTTTAAGTACTGGAGTCGCTTCATGGAGAAACCAGGCTAGATTTAGAGTTGTAAGATAAAATAACATTTTCTGTTGCCTTCTTTTAAACTCAGTGCCATTAAATTTTTTCGATTTTTCTCCATGATTTATTGGAATTTGAACATGATTCTGGATATGGACCGCAGTTGTTGTAACAATTGTAATACCACTTTCAATTGTAGTAGCCATAATATTTGATTACAAAAATCAGAAAAAACCAAAACACAAATTAATTTTCTAGTTATTAAAACCAGAAAATAAATTATAATACAAAATAATTTTACTTTTCTAGTTACTACAACCAGAAAAATAAAATACTGCACAATAATTTTCTGTATCACTACTACACAAATTAATATTTTGAAATTATTAATGACATCAGTATATTACTATTAGTTGTCAAAGAAAATAAAAAGTATATTACTACTATTTGTTAAACAGTATATTACTACTATTTATATTTTTCAACCAGAATATCACTTTGTGAAAGTACAAAAAAATAAATACAATGAAGACACCAAAATTAATCTGTCTTAAGATTGTTGGTCAATCTTCACTGTATTCAAAAAATGAATTAAAGAGAGGAGAGAGATTGTTTGATTACAAAAATCAAAACAGTATATACAAATCAATAAATAAAATCAGATTCTTATTTTGTTACTAAAATAAAATCAAAATGTGAAACAAAGGAAAAAATAATTAAAACTGAAATTAAATTAATTACTTACCTTATTAATTTCTCGAACAAGTTTTTTGATCAAGTCCAGTGTTTAACACTGTGTCTTTAAGACAAATTCGTTCTCTCCAAGGTGTTTTCAGATTTTGGACGTCTATCTCTCAGGATAACATAATCAACAGTGAATAGTAGCAGCACTACAAACTATTTACACAACAAACACACTTAGTGTTTACACTCTTTTTCACAAGGAAAATAATGCAGCAAGAATTCAAACAGATAAGGAGCTGTTTTGGGTTTGAATTTGAACAGATTCGGATTTGTTTGGATAGATATGGAACCTGTAAAGAAATTCTGAAGAGGTGCAAACCAAACCTTGAATTTTATTTCCAACCAGACAAGCCCAACCCAACCTTACATCAGTGCCAAAGCCTAGGCCCATGCCAATATGCTCGGACGGACAGCGGCGTGCGCGGATGTTTATTTTTAGGTCTAATGGATCTAGCTCACTTTGCCCACAACCTTTCCCTTCTACAAACTTGGGGTGCCCTTTGGGGCCCTCCCCAAGTTGCAAACTCAAGCCTTATAAACCTTCAAAAGTTTGTCTCCCAAACCAATGTGGGACAAACTTTTAGTTCAAACCTTTACTCCCAAACCAATGTGGGACAAACTTTTAGTTCAAACCTTTAAGGAAACTTTTACTATGGAACTCTTTTTGGCTTCAATTTCTCATTCATCCGATAATGGTTTTGAACAACCAAATATACTACGTGAATCACAATACGGTATAGAATACGTTACCACTTAGATCCGCCAACTTTAACGCATAAGTCCTACTTAAAAATTAGACCTACTTAAAAATTAGACCAAAATTAAAGAAAAATCTAGGATGTGTTTGGTTTGTGTTTGTAGAGTACTTTTTGAGATAAAAAGTGCGAAAACTTATTTGGTTTGTCTTTTTTCAGAAATGGTTTTGAAAAATTGTAAACTTATTTGGTTTGTCTTTTTTCAGAAATGGTTTTGAAAAATTGTTTTGGGAAGAGAGTTTTAAAAAAAGTGATTGATTTGATGTGTATGAGAGAGAGAGAGAGATTTTGGAAAGTAGGTAACCAAACAAAATTTTAAATTTTTTTTTAAAAAAATTTGTTTAATTTAATTACTCTTAAAAATTTATTTATAAATAATTTTTTTCAAAATTCTGTTAAAAAAACAAACCAAACAAGGGCTAATTTTTTTAAAACCATTTCTAACAATTACTACCGTGGATCTTTGCATCTACTCCACTGCTATGGTCATCCACAACCTCTTCCGACCACCACTGTTACAATCACTACCAACCATTAATCGATTTTGATCAGCATTGCCTTTGATCACTTTCTATAACTTGTTTTTAAAAATACATGTACTAAATTTATTTTTTATATTTATTTTTATCAAATATAAACAACGAATTTTAAACATTAGCCGATTTTTTTTTTTTAATTGTTTTTTCAAACTACAGTCTCAAATTTAAAATGACACTATAAAAACAAATTTTTAATTAAACTTAAGGTCTTTCACATTAGTTGCAGTTCAATCCCCAATCATGGATCATTATTAACCTACTTATATATTTTACTCCGGTTTTAATTGAACCCCCGATAGTGAACGGTGTGATTGATCCTCCCACTTAGTCAACCCAGTAGACCGGATATTGAATTATTAAATAATAAAAAAAAAACACTCATCTATTTTCAAAAAAATGAAAAATTAGACAAATTACACTTACCTCGAAACTATGGGTCATTATCACTTTATCTCCTCAGTCAAAAATTATTACATTTTATTCCCCTAATCTTTTAATTTATTTCAATCTCAACCATTATGGAAAAATAACATAAGAGTAAGTTTTATGGCCAAAATATTCGTTCAATAGTTGAATTATTTATATATGTGAAAGAAATATGTATATATTTTCTCCTCTACTGTAATATATATATATATTGAAGTGAATATATTCACTTGACACCATATAACCAACTAAACTACCATAGACCATGAGAAGTTTTGCCAGCTATATAAATATGATTTTGTTAAAGAAATAGTATACAACGCAGCTGCTATCATTTATAAATGAAAAACATGTCCATCCATTCACCAGTATTTCAAAAGATTAACATTTTCAGAACATAAGTACACTCATTGAAATAGAAATGAGTTTTCCAACGCAAAGGCAGGCTTTTGAACCCACAAACTTGATCGCTTTCCATCAATCAATCTGCCATAAGTTGCTACAGGTATTCACAACCTCGGAATGGGGCGAGGAATGTCCCAATCAGCCACAATGTGATCACGGGTGATTTCTTTTAGAGAACGGCAGCCACTTAATGCCATGGTTAATTCAAACTCATCGCGCAGCATTTGAAGTACTTTTCTGATACCAGCTTCTCCTTCAGCAGCCAACGAGAACACCACAGGCCTTCCAATCTGATATTGAGACCACGAACACATGAATGTTATGACAGAGAGCAGAATTAGGAAGGATTGAATAGATATAACAAACAGTGCTCGGCTTATCCATGTAATTGATTACATAAATCAAATTCCAAAAACAATTTGTCTGTTTATAGAAAACTCAAATTGTGCAGGTCAAAAAAAGTATGCGGAAAGTATGAATGTTCAAGTCCCCACAAAATTGGGGCAATTAATGTATTATTTACTATCAACTGACCAAATTTTTTTTTCAATCATAACATTATGATTGTCACCACATACTTAAAATAAGCTTGTTCGGAGTTGTATTATCTAGGCCATGATTTTTCTAATTATGAATGGCTTTATCATATTAGAAAATCCATAAATAATATTTGTTACTTATATTTTTCCCTTCGGTCACTCTGTATAAAAGAGAAAATATATATATTTTTCATGAAAATAAATGTAATTTACTTTTCCTTGGCACTAAATGAAACTCGAGTTCCTACTGTATTATACTTACAAATATGCCGGAGGCTCCAAGTGCCAAGGCTTTGAATACATCTGTTCCGCGGCGAACCCCACCGTCCAAGAATACAGGCACACGGCCTTGTGCAGCTTTCACAACCTAAAAGATTAAATACAAATTCAGTTGATTTCACCATGTAAACAAAAAGATGAACAGATAATAAATTACTTTTAGGTTCAGATACCTCTTCCAGAGCCATGATAGTGGCAGGGACATAATCAAGTTGGCGAGCACCATGATTAGAGACGATAATACCAGCTGCTCCAGCTTGTATAGATAGCCTCGCTGCATTGCCAGTTAAAAGAATCATTTAAGCATCCAATTGTAAAAACCAAAAATAAATAATTAAAAACCATGTTGTTTTTACCATCCTCAGCAGTGAGTACACCCTTCACTAGGATTGGCAGTGTAGTGATTGTCTGAAGCCACTTCACATCCTATCCGTATCCAGAAAGAGATTATTCAAAAGGAATACTCTTTTTTAAGGCAATCTTTAAACACGGGCTTATGTATAGTGAACAAGTTCATGTCAACCAACTACATATTATGCCCCAACTAACATACCTTCCAGCTCAGAGAACGGTCAATTTGACCAGCCACATATGAAGCTAGTCCAGAGTCATCACTCTGCACAGTCCCATAAAACAGTCAATAATACAGTGAGAAAAATCTCGTAAGGGTTCTTTTGGTTGCAGTTAATAAATTGTGCTATTTTTTAGGCTTATTTTTTATTTAGTGAACTTTTTTCAACTTTGAGTCAAAATATGTTACTTTTTTGGTCCATATAGACTGGACTATCCTAAATTTTTTGTAAAAAAAGGTATACAACTTTTGAAAAAAGTTCAGATTAGACAAAAATAAACTAAGTTTAACTTGTTTTATTATCTTTTTATATATATATTTTTTAATTTCAAGGGTCGTCTAGTCTAAATGGACCTAAAAAGTAGAAAATTTTAACATAATTTTTTATTTTTATTTTTAAAGTTAACCAGATACGAAAATAAGACAGAATGGAAAAAATTAATAATAATAAGTTGGTGCAATATATATTAATCAGTGACGGGTATGTTTGCCACTCACTCCAGTTGAGTTATTAATATATATATGTATGGTTTGTTTTGATGTGCCATGTAAGCACAGCTCTATGGACAAAGTTTTGAATTGCTTCCGTTTGGCCCCCATTAACTCTGTTAAAATACGTTTGGTTTGGTTTGAGGCCGTAGGTAATCTCATGATTACTGGCCGGTTATGTCCTTAACCCACGGGGGCAGGTTCGGGTCATGACACCTTCAGAATGAATATCATGCAAAATTAATTGAAAACTTTGAATTTGAGAAATTACCGTCTGGAAGTCTACCATAACGAAATCCAGAAATTTACTGACAACAAATTTCTTTGTGCCGGCATCCTTTGTCTTGTATTTTTTCTCTAAAGAATCCCACAATTCTTTTGCTATTTTCAAATGGCTGTAAACTTTATACAACATGTTGTCAAGGCCATTAAGGATGTAGTTTCCGCACAGAAAATTAGAATTTTTCCAAGCTTCTACAGCGGTAACAACTTACCGATCACTTTCATCCTCTTTAAGTACTGGAGTCGCTTCATGGAGAAACCAGGCTAGATTTAGAGTTGTAAGATAAAATAACATTTTCTGTTGCCTTCTTTTAAACTCAGTGCCATTAAATTTTTTCGATTTTTCTCCATGATTTATTGGAATTTGAACATGATTCTGGATATGGACCGCAGTTGTTGTAACAATTGTAATACCACTTTCAATTGTAGTAGCCATAATATTTGATTACAAAAATCAGAAAAAACCAAAACACAAATTAATTTTCTAGTTATTAAAACCAGAAAATAAATTATAATACAAAATAATTTTACTTTTCTAGTTACTACAACCAGAAAAATAAAATACTGCACAATAATTTTCTGTATCACTACTACACAAATTAATATTTTGAAATTATTAATGACATCAGTATATTACTATTAGTTGTCAAAGAAAATAAAAAGTATATTACTACTATTTGTTAAACAGTATATTACTACTATTTATCAAACAGTATATGACTATTATTTGTATTTTCCAACTTGAATATCACTTTGTAAAAGCACAGAAAAATCAATACAATGAAGACACAGAAAATAAATCTATCTTAAGATTGTTGGACAATCTTCACTGTATTCGAAGAATAGATTAAAGAGATGAGAGAGACTGTTTAATTACAGAAATAAAAACAGTACATAAAAATAAATAAATAAAAACAGATTCTTATTTTGTTACTAAAACAAAATCTAAATCTAGAAAAAAGAAAAATAATTAAAATTGAAATTAAATTAATTACTTACCTTATTAATTTCTCGAACAAAATTTTTGATCAAGTCCAATGTTTAACACTGTGTCCTTAAGACAGATTCGTCCTCAACACGGTGCTTTCAGATTATGAATGTCTATCTCTCAGGATAAAATGATGAACAGTGAATAGTAATAGCACTACAAACTATTCACACAACGAACACATTTAGTGTTTACACTCTTTTTCACAAGGAAAATAATGCAGCAAGAATTCAAACAGATAAGGAGCTGTTTTGGGTTTGAATTTGAACAGATTCGGATTTGTTTGGATAGATATGGAACCTGTAAAGAAATTCTGAAGAGGTGCAAACCAAACCTTGAATTTTATTTCCAACCAGACAAGCCCAACCCAACCTTACATCAGTGCCAAAGCCTAGGCCCATGCCAATATGCTCGGACGGACAGCGGCGTGCGCGGATGTTTATTTTTAGGTCTAATGGATCTAGCTCACTTTGCCCACAACCTTTCCCTTCTACAAACTTGGGGTGCCCTTTGGGGCCCTCCCCAAGTTGCAAACTCAAGCCTTATAAACCTTCAAAAGTTTGTCTCCCAAACCAATGTGGGACAAACTTTTAGTTCAAACCTTTAAGGAAACTTTTACTATGGAACTCTTTTTGGCTTCAATTTCTCATTCATTCGATAATAGTTTTGAGCAACTAAATATACTACGTGAATCACAATACGGTATAGAATACGTTACCACTTAGATCCGCTAACTTTAACGCATAAGTCCTACTTAAAAATTAGACCAAAATTAAAGAAAAATCTAGGGTGTGTTTGGTTTGTGTTTGTAGAGTAGTTTTTGAGATAAAAAGTGCGAAAACTTATTTGGTTTGTCTTTTTTCAGAAATAGTTTTGAAAAATTATTTTGGGAAGAGAGTTTTAAAAAAGTAATTGATTTGATGTATATGTGTGAGAGAGAGAGAGATTTTGAAAAGTAAGTAACCAAACAAAATTTTAAGTTTTTTTTTAAAAAAATTTGTTTAATTTAATTACTTTTAAAAATTTATTTATAAATAATTTTTTTTAAAAATTTTTTAAAAAACAAACCAAGACCCTAATGTTTCTAAAACCATTTCTAACAAAAAAGTTGCATAATGCAAACATAAAATTCAAACTCCATTATCACCTCTCATAAATATAGTGTCCCATCCACCAACTAATTCTTTGGGGGAGGAGGACACGTACACTATGTTTCGCAACTAAGGTCAAGTTTGACATGTCTTAAAAAAGATAAAAATTCAAAAAGTCATTATCTTATTTAAGTTACATCATCTTATTTAAGTCACATTATTTCTCTTATACATCACTTCAAACCCAACCCAAACCTAACCCATATTTCATAAAAAGTCAAAAAGTGTACTTATTTAGATCATCCCAAACAACCCCTAAGAAGGGAACACTAAAGAAGACAAAAAGATTGTGATTTTTCTTGCTTTTATTTGGATAAATATAAAAAATAATGATTTCTCATCTATTTCGCTCGATCAAACTATATATACATGTATAAGAAATTATTTTATATTATATTATCAAAATAATTTTTTATGTGTTATTTTTTTTTTATTTCTTCAATATCTAAGGGCAATTTTGATATTATAAAAAAAATAATAATTGTTTTTTTTTTGTCTCTCTCAATCTTTCAACTTTCGGAGAAATTGAAAAAATTTTATTCTATTTCTATCCTCTTTACTTATTCAAATAAATAATAAACAAAAAGTATTTCTTTTCTTTTTAATAATCACCCAGTCCAAACGACGTGTAAGATTTTCTATTTGTGAAAGAGAAAGCCTTTGTTGCTGTCACATCATTTTCACATTAAGGAATAAGCCATTTTTTTCAAAAATTTAGAAAATGACTATTCTTGGCTGATAGAATTCTATGCAACAAAAGTCTAAGCTGAGCTTACTTGAAATCTAAGGTATAATTAATAACATTTACACTTGGCCACTATAAACAGAGTCTCTTTCTCTTCCCCACGCATCACCATCCTGGTCTCAATCATCATTATTATTAATTAATTGTAATTCTTCTTTTATACAATAATAAATTTTATAATTTTTTCATATTCACAAATATGATATGTAGCTGGAAAGTGGGTTGACTTTTTGACTTTTTGGCTTTTTTTTGACTATTTTAGTTTGGATTAAAAAGTTTGATTTGGGAAGGACTTTTTGACTTTTTTGACTTTTTTTGTGAGAGAAGAATGTAATGATTATGGGTTGGATGTGATATTTTGTTTTTTGTGGCTAAAATCGCCTATTTTGTCTTTTATGACTAAAATAGCCAAAAAAATCCCGTTTAGCTCTTGCCAAACGAAGCCGTAGTAATAAAATGGTAGCCTTATATTTATGTTTAATTCCATCTATCAAATTTCATCTTATTCTGGGCTCATAACAGGGCCCATTAAGATGATCTGAGCAGTTTATATTTGATTTCTGTGTATTTCATGAAAAAAATTAGATTAATCGAATAAGTATACATGGAGCTAAAACATGATCAACTTGAATCATCCTAATAGACCCTGTTACAGGTCTAAAAAAACAAATCGAGTTAAAATAGAAACATGAGACAAGCTGCTTTTTAATAAAATTTACAAAACGGTAAGCATAACTTAACTGTCACGTATATGAGTACGAAAATTTTGTTATTTTGTATAACATTATCAAAGTCACCCTTATTTATAATTGTAAGAGTTTCAATTCAGACCTGTTGGAATGGTTGGCTGAGAGTCTGGCTAAACCCAATGTGTAGAGGATAGGGATGTAAGAAAAATATAAAAAAAAAAACTAATCAAACTGATTGAACGAGATTAAATCGGTTATATTTGGTTTGTTTTTTAACAAGAATCGGTCTGTGCGGTTTTCGATTTGATTTTTTTTCAATTTTCGGTTCGGAATCGGTTCAAGCATGTTATGCACCAAACTAAATCGAAACTGGTCATTTCAACATATATTGTATTTATAATATATATAATATAATAATATAACGATATTAACAAGTATAATAAATTATTAATCTTAGTTAATTAAATTTATCATCTCTATAACCTAAATTTATAAACTCTTATTATATATAATCTTAAAGCCTCAATATTTTATACCTTTTTTTTTTTTTGTATTTTTGTTAATCTAAAAATTGAAAAGTATTTATTAAATGGATGGATTGGATATATTTGAAGTAGTAGACAAATAACTAATTCAATATTTTTATTTACATTAGTGACCATACTAAAAAGTGGCTCAAGTTTGAAAGGTTATAGGCCAATAAAACCACATCGAAT